TGCACAGGTGCCTGGGGGACATTGAATGGCATCGTCTCTGGGGAGTGCATCTAGTGATGATTCCACGCCATGAGTAGATACAATGTCAGGGCCTCATGGAGGAAGCTGAGGTCTCCAGTGCCCCGAACAGGACCACAGGGAATGCTGGGAGCAGCCTGTGGGGGTGGATGTGGTTTGTCCTCACAGCATTACTGCTGAGCATGGCCCCAACATAACAGCACTGACAAGGGGGTGCACGATCTGGATGGTTACATAAAAAGCATGGAATTAACCAGGATCTGATGTCAGATACAAAGTCCTTGTAAAACTACCAAAGGAAACATAGGGCAAAATCTCCCTGATGTTGGTCTGGCCATGATTTCCCTTTCAGAATTCAAATTTCAAGCAACCTAAGAAAACATTTTCACATGATGCTGCATAACTACAGAGCATCTGCATTACAGACTGACTGAGAAGTGAGCAGCCTACACACAGATTGGAAGTGACTATTCTCGTATCAAATGTATGATCAATAGCCTGTATGCAAAAGGAACAAAAAGGAACTGTCTGTATGAGCTGTGTTTAGAACTGGTTCTGAGTCATCTGCAGTCTCAAAATAACTGTGATACACAATTGGCTTCTTCATCCTGAATGACACGTTCTGCGTCATCAGGCCTACAATGGGTATAGAAGCAAACCTCTGTGATAGGCCTACAATGGGTATAGAAGCAAACCTCTGTGATATATGTGTGGCTCAGTGTTGCTATGGATTTGTTCTGAGAGGAGGAGCATGGTTGGGGCAAGAGGCGCGGAGTCACCACAAGGACCCTGGGAATTGGGTGAAAGCAGGTTAGAGGCGAGCAGCCCACAGACTCAATTATTTCATCGGTACAGCAGCTTATATAGCCGAGGCAGCCAATCCGGTCAAGGGGCGGTTTATGCCTAACCAATCACAGCCTGTTGCCAGGCAGGCTCCGTTGCCAGGTGGCATTGAAGCCATCCCTGAGTAACTGATGCTCGCTTGCCAGCAGCCATCTAGGCATGGCTTTCTATCCCACCACAGCTCAGTGTGTCCTAAAGGCGTTGTGTTTTAGATGTGCTCCCAAGGAGACCATGGGTGAAATGAAGGGAGCTCTGGGAGTGAGGCCTAGTGGGATTTGTCCATTTCTGGGGAATCTGCTATGGAGGAGATCACAGTAGATCTCCTGAGTCCCCAGCTTCAGCACAGAGCACAGTGCTGCTAGAGTCAGCCCTGGTCTCATCTGAAGTCCTGTGTGGGGTTGGGGTCCCTCCCATCCGTGTTCACAATATTAGGATGCCTGAAGACTGCCATGGTGTTCACAATATTAGGATGGCTGACTGTCTGATCCTGGACTTCCAGCCTCTACAGCTGTGAGCTCAAGAAACCTTTTTGCTCCGTACACCTCCCTATGGGGTACTGCATGATGGATGGCTTTGCCCTGAAGGCTAGTGATCCGGAACTTTGTTTCATGTGTCTGTTGGCCATTTGGACTTCCTCTTTTAAAAAATGTCTGAGTTCTTGGCCCATCTCTTAACTCAGTTGTTTTTGTTGTTTGGAATTTCTTAATCTCTTTGTAGATTCTGGTTATTAATCCATATCAGTTGCTTAGCTTCAAATATTTTGCACATTCTGTCAGATGTCTCTTCAATTTCCTGGGTGTTTCTTTTGCCACACAGAGACCTCTCACTTTGATATAATCCCATTTATTAATTTTGGCTTTGACTGCCTATTTCTCAGGTCTTTTCCAAGAATTCTTTTCCTGTGCCAGTGTCTTGCAGGGTTTCCTAAATGTTCTCTAATAACTGGGTGGTGTAGGGTCATAGATTTAGATCTTTAATCAATCTTGCGTGGATTTTCGTGTAAGGTGTAAGATAGGAGTCTTGCTTCCTACTTCTGCAATACATAATAATTTTAAAAGTGAAAAGGAATTTGAAGATTACCTGTAAAATGGAATGGTGTAGTCAATAATTTGAAGAAATGAGCTTTTTAAAATAGCCAAGCTACAATGTGATTTGCAGATTCAATGCATTTCCTGTGAAACAGCCTGCCGTTCTTCACAGGACCAGGAAGAAAATTCAAGAATTATCATGAAAAAAACAGGGTTCGTGATGGCTGAATGGTCTTGAGGAAAAATAGCAAAGCAGAAGGCTTCATCACATCTGAGCTGAAATCAGGCCTGGTGCTGGGATAACATAGACACCCAGAGCCCTGGGACAGAACAGAACCTAGAAATAAGGAGCACGTTCTGAGAATGTGAGTTCTGAGAATGCACGGTGACAAAAGCACAGGATGGGGATGGGTTTCCTGTCGTTACCTGGGGTTGGGGACACTTGAATGCACCTAAAATAAGATGTAGAAACAGAGTGAACTTGAGGAATGCCTTACAGGCAAGAGTCGAGACTGTAAAGTTCTAGAAGAAAACACAGGACAAAAGCGAGCTGACATTGGTTTGGGCAATGGTATTTTGATAATCTCCAATGTACAGGGAACCAATCAAAAATAGGCAAAAGATAATGGACCCAACTACAGAGCTCCTGTGTAACAAAGGGAATGATTGAAGAACCAAAGACAACCACAGATGGGGAGAAAGCATTTTCAGGTCACACATGGGTTGTCCAACATTTGGCCCCACAGGTTAAGCTGCCATCCCTATGCAGCATCACTCAGCAGCATGGGTTCAGACCCTGCTTGCTGCACTTCAAATCCGGCTCCCTGCTCATGGACCAGGGAACTCTGTCAATGATGACTCAAGTGTGTGTCCCCTTCAAGCCTCGTGGGAAACTGGAGGAAGTTCAGGCTCCTGGCTACAGTCTTGCCCTTCCCCAGCCTTTGCAGCCATTCAGGAAGGAAACCAGTGGATGGAAGCTTCTCTCTCCCTCTGCTGGTCTCTTCCTCTATTGCCATAACACTGCCTTTCAAATCAAATAGATAGATTTTTAAAATAAATGAAAGATAACTATATATATGGTTAGGAGCCTAGATCCAAATGTTGAATGAACTCTTGGAACTGAATCACAGGGGAAGCAATCAATTGTTCAAATGCAGTGACTGACAACGTGGGTGACAGGAGCAGCATTGAAGTTAGCCTGTGGGATTCCTGCCTCCCCCATCAGGATGCTTAGGTTTATGTCCCAGTTTAGGTCGCAATTTCAGACTCCTCCAATGTGCACTCTGGGAGGCAGTACGAGAAGTCTGAGTTAATCCCATGTGTGAGACCTGGACTGAATTCCATGCACCTGGCTACGGTCTTACCAAATGCCAGCTTTTATGGGCATCTAGGAAGTTACCCAGGATTCAGTAGATCACTGTTGTCTGTCTCTGTCTCTTTTTCTTTTTGGACAAATACACAAATACAAGTTTTAAAGAGGTAAAAGTATATCTGTAATTTTTAAAATAAAATATATAAAGGCAAACGTATAAAAATGCTTTATATGGGATCATCATGCATGTGCATGTTGGAGAAACAATGAGATATCCCATCCCTTTGTTAGACTGAGTATCACCAGACATACCAGAGCTGACACATGTTGTGCAGGAAGAGAGAGAAGATAACCTGGTAAAGGCTGGAGTCAGGTAAATTAGGAAAGCTTTCATGGAAAACATCAGAAGCTGAGAAATAGAATTATCACAGGATCCTCCAACACCATTCCTGGTAGAAGGAATATGAAATCCCAGGGAGGAGACCACGGGATGTGCAGTCACTGTGGCAAACAGCTCTGCTGTCCCATGTTCAATTAAAGCAGCGTCATTCTCAAGAGGTCACACATATAATCCAGAGAAATTAGCATTGAAGAAGGAATGGAAAATGGACAAATGGACGAGTTATATTTTAACAGAAACTTTATATGGCAGTAAAGAGGAAGAAATTCTAGTATCTTGGATAACTTGGATAATCCTGGTGAATAATAGCCAAGGATAATATGTCAGGGTAAGTACACTCTGCTAAACCATCCAGGCCAAGAAGCCAAATAATATGTGATGCTAGTTACATGGGATAAAAAGGATGAACTAACAAGCCAGAAGTTCAATGGTGAAGACCAACGTCTATGTTTGGGAGGAACAGAGGAGATGCTGGAGCAAGGTCAGAGTTCCAGTCCCACAGGATCCACACGTTGAGGGATCTACTGTACAGCATGGTGACAGAAGTAAAGTGAATATAGTGTATACAAAATTCCCAGACATTAGACAAATGACATACTACCATGAAAAACATGGGTTTTGTGATAAAATGTCAATAACTCTGACTTCATAATTCCACTCAGTATACATTCATTTATTCAACACATATCATTGTACCTCATATGTCTATATTCAATATTATTTATCAAACATTTATGATAATGAAATGGCACAAATGGCAAATCATGAAGATTCAGATCTCTGAATAATGGTGTTATGTTTTCCAATGTTTCCTCTTACAGGAGAGGAAACCCCAAATCCCTGACAGGAAACCAGGGCTTCATCTCCCTCTGCGCCTGTGCAGGACCAGAATCTAGGCTCAGTGCGTCTTGTGTGCCCCCTGGTATAACTGTGCACCCCTGCAGGGAGGTTTGTGTCTGGGCTCAGCCTGAGGGCCCCTCACTGTGTGTCTCGCACAGAAATAGGTGGCCGTGTCCGCGCCTGTCAGATTGGTCATTTGCAGAGTCACCGTGTTTAGGCTGGTGCTTTTGGAGATGGTGAATCGGCCTTTCGCCCAGCTCGCGTACCATGTGCTACCACTACTAGTATAAATGCATGCGATCAACTCCAGCCCCTTCCCTGGAGCCTGGCGGACCCAGCACATGTAGTAGTAGCTACTGAGGTCGAATCCAGAGGCTTTGCAGGTGAGTGTCAGGGATCCCTCAGGCTTGACCAGGCCTCCCCCGGACTCCTCCAGCTGCTCCTGACACTGGACACCTGCAAACACAGACGACATGGTCAGGACACTCTCACTCACACTCTCTGTGTCTCTCACTCACGTCCTCTCCCAGACTCAGTGCCCCGCGTTCTCCATCATTACCTTTGAGCACAGCGACCTGGAGAAGCCAGCGCAGCCCAGTCTCCATGGTGAGCGTCTGTGTTGAGTGCGATCACTGAGTGGACACCTGGGAGTGCTGGGGCTGGAGCTCCTGTGCCAGAGCTGCAGGGTGAGGGCTGTGCTGGTTTTCATGGGCAGAGGGAGGCCCTATTTGCATGTGTTGCCCCTATATAGCAGGCATGGGGTCAGACGCCTCAGATAGGACAGGGCCCAGGACAGATGTGGTATCCTGGGTGTGTAGAGTGATGGCTATGATATGATTCAGATCATATGAATTTTTATGTTATATTATTTTAAAAAGTTGAAGGCAAATACCTTGTTTCATTCTAATATGTGTGTACCCTTAATATCCAGTGTTAGCAATATCATGTCCCTCATTTATTTAAATAACCATTAGCTCCTTATCATCTATATGAAAGACATTGGAACAGTGATAGGGAGAGAATGGGTGAGAGAGACAGAAATGTAGAGATGGACAGAAAAGGTGACAATGGGAGATTTCTGCCTTTGGGTTTACAGCCTCAGACATACCAAATGCCTATGACCCCTGGGAGTTAGTTTTCTGAACCTTGGGGAAGAAATTGTGTCTGTAATTCCAATGTCAGTGGTAGGGCCTCATTCACTTGTAGCGAAACTACAGTTTCCCATGATGCATTATGAGAAAAAAGTGTGGGAAGCCATGAGGCTGGGCTCAGTCAGTTCTCTGATGGGAACACGGGTGTCCCTAGTGGGGACTTAAGCCAATTTTGATCTAATGCCTGTCGCCCACTTTTAAACAGATGAAGGACTGCAAGTGGATTTTTTAAGGTTAACTATGCTTTGTTTCCTTATTAATCCATTGCTTTAGTTTAAAACTGTTGCTGAACATGAACACTGTACATGGTAGTGGGGTTTGTGTGCTCCTGGAATGTGCATGGTAGAAATGGGCACAGATCAACTCAGTGTCAGGCACATTTCCACCTCCTTTCCATCACTCTGTTGGGAGGCCTGGAGGCCTCAGTTCTAGTTATTTGTGGAACCTGTCGTGTGTTGTGGTGAACTGAGTCAGCCCACTGTGGTGTGGGCAGAATTATTCCTGCCTTTGAGTGGTGCTTTGTGCCCTGGTATCAGCCGCCCTGTGTCCCTTCTTCCCTGTTCTGTAACCATGACTCTGAATTGAGGTCACACACTAGGTAGAAGTCACTGTGTCACAATTCAGCCGCCGTCCTGTGTTCATGTCATGCAGCTTTGTTTACAATACTTCAGTCTACATTAAAGCAAGTGTTCATAGAACAGTGAATGGATTCTTTCACATTTGGACATGGACTATTATTCAGTATTAAGAAGCAGGTCATTCTGACATTAGGAAATGTGGGTTAGCCTGGAGCATAATATGCTAACAGAAATAACCAGGTAGATGTGGACACATGGTATGTGACATTAGTTATATATGCAGTCCACAAGCTTGATCTCACAGAGAGAGGAAGTGCAATGGTGATCACTGTCTACCATGACCCAAGTGTTTGTCCCCTTCCAGCCCTGTGGGAAACTGGAGGAAGTTCCAGGCTCCTGACTTCAGGCTCAGCCATCCCAGCCTTTGCAGCCATTCACAAAGTGAACCAGTGGACGGAAGCTTCTGTCTCCATCTGTTGGTCTCTTCCTCTCTTGCTATAACACTGTCTCTAAAATATAATAGATACTTAAAAATTGAATTTAATTATACATATGATTAGGAGCCTATTTCCTAATGTTGAATGATCTCAAGCAACTGAATTCCAAGGGAAGAAATCAATTGTGTACATGCAGTGACTGGTAAGGTGGTGACAGGAGCAGCACTGGAGTGAGCCTGAGGGATTTCTGCCTCCCGCATCAAGATGCTGAGTGTTGTGTCCTAGTTTGGTTCCAGTTTCAGATTCCTGCCTAAGCACACTCTGGGAGGCCGTAGGTGAAGTTCCAAGTAGTCCCACGTGGGAGACCTGGACAGAATTCCAAGTACCTGGCTGTCAGCTCACCCATCTAAAGCTTCTGTAGTCATCTGGGAAGTGACCGAGAAATTAGAAGATCACTGTAGGTCTCAGTCTCTTTGTGGTTTTGGACAAATACATAAAGACAAGTTCTTAAACAAAATGATAAATTTTAAAATTTATATCATTTGTATAGATTATTAAAAGAAGATATATAGACAGACATATAAAATGCTACAAATCTGGGACCATCATGTATGTCCATGTTAGAAGCACAACGATATCGAATCCCTCCTGTTAGAATGACTATTATCAGACATACCAGAGCTGACATGTTTTATGGAGGTAGAGAGAGATGATAACCCTGGTACAAGTCTGTGTCACGTTAATTAGTAAAACCGTATGGAAAAGCATCAAAAACTGGAAACAGAATTATTACATGATCTTCAAACACCATTGCATGGTACAATGAATATGAAATCCCAGGGAGGTGTCCATGGGATCTACAGTCACTGTGGCAAACACCTCTGCAGTTCCTTGTTCATTTAAAGCACCGTCATTCAAAAGAGTTCACACATATGATCCAGTGACATTTCATGGAAGCAAGAATGGATAATGAAAGAAATGGACAAAGTTACATTTTAAAAGGAAGTTTACAAGAAGTACAGAGAAAGAAATTCTGTAATTTTGGACAACTTGGATGATCCCAGAGAATAATGTGCCTAGGATAATATGTCAGTAAAAGTACACTCTGCTAACCATCCAGGCCAGGAAGACACATAATATGTGATGCTACCTACATGGGATAAAAGGATGTACAATTGCCAATCATGAAGATTCAGATCTCTGAATACTGGTGTTGTGTTTGCCAATGTTTTATGGAGATGATAAAGGCAGTGCACTCAAGGCTTGGCAGCTGGAACCCAGGAGCATGGAACTGCATCAGTGTTCCCACCTTGGTGATGGGGACTCATAACAGATCCATCATCTACTGTCTTCCAGGGTGCATTGTCAGTACATGTATGGACAATGTGTAAATGGGCTCCATCCAGCACTCTTATATGCAGCCTGGGTGTCTCCCTCTCTAAAACTGATGAAAGACTCCAAATGGATTGATGACGCCAGTCAGCATAGACATGGAGTGAAGAGCAGGGACTCTGGACAAATGGTCTCTGGGACTGGCTCTTCCTGCAGTTGTGGGTCAGCCTCAGGACACTGGTCATCATGCTGGAGCCACAGACACAGCTCCCCGTGATGTGGACTCCAGCCCCAGAGTGCACAGCCAGTGTGTGTCCCACTATCTGCTCTCCCTCAACCACAGCAGGTGCAGGTGGTCACACGACACTGGAGCAGAACCAGATCAGCTGGAAGGGCACACCCAACACTTTCCATTCAGTTATGACCTTGACTGCTGATGTCCAGTGCATTTCCCTCCTGAGTTCATTCAGGGAGCCCCCAGGAGGGTCCCAGGACCTAGAGGATGAGGAAGTCCCTGTAGGCTTCCCAGGTGCCTGCAGAAGCTCAGCCTGAGACACAGCTGAGCAGCAGTACATTCCTGAGTGCTGTGACATTCACACAGGGACCACAGATTGTTCCAGGATTAAAGGGAAAATGGAGATGGGGTATAAAGTCTGTGGAAAGTGAATGCAGAACACCCACAGTTTAAAATAATACGGTTGGTTCAGTTCAGCACACAGGCTACTCTGACAGGAGGATGGGACAACTTACATAATTGAGGTAGCAAATCAAGTCTCTGGCTCGGCTCTCTTTGGGTTTGAGGGAAAACTAAAACTGTCCTAAAGTCGGTAGTGGCCTGAGAACGCTGTCCTGAGTCAGACGGGAAAACACTCACGAGGTCCCCAGATAGTCCCACATCTCTGATCCTGGTGACCACTGTCATCGTACACGAACCTGAATGTGTCCATTTAGGACTTCTTCCTGTCACATCAAACTTCTCTACGTCAGTGAAGTCAGTGGAAGTGACAGAGTCATAAAAGGAGAAGTCCTCCCTCAAAACTCTTACAGGAGAGGAAACCCCAAATCCCTGACAGGAAACCAGGGCTTCATCTCCCTCTGCGCCTGTGCAGGACCAGAATCTGCGCTCGGTGCATCTTGTGCGCCCCCTAGTGGTACCGCGCGCCCCTGCAGGGAGGTTTGTGTCTGGGCTCAGCCTGAGGGCCCCTCACTGTGTCTCCTGCACAGAAATACAGGGCCCTATCCCTGGCTGTCAGACTGTTCATTTGCCGATACAGCGTTTTCTGGGCGTTGTTGCTGGAGATGATGATTCAGCCATTCACCCAGCTGGTGTAGTTGGTGCTACCAGCACTACTAATGTATCCGATCCACTCCAGCCCCTTCCCTGGAGCCTGGCGGACCCAGCACATCCAGTAGCTACTGAGGGTGAATCCAGAGGCTTTGCAGGAGAGTTTCAGGGATCTCTAAGGCTTGACCAGGCCTCCCCCGGACTCCACCAGTTGCTCCTGACACTGGACACCTGCAAACACAGACGTCCTGGTCAGGACACTGTCACTCACATTCTCTGTGTCTCTCACTCACGTCCTCTCCCAGACTCAGTGCCCCACGTTCTCCATCATTACCTTTGAGCACAGGGACCAGGAGAAGCCAGCGCAGCCCAGTCTCCATGGTGAGCGTCTGTGTTGAGTGCGATCACTGAGTGGACACCTGGGAGTGCTGGGGCTGGAGCTCCTGTGCCAGAGCTGCAGGGTGAGGGCTGGGCTGGTTTTCATGGGCAGAGGGAGGCCCTACTTGCATGTGTTGCAAGTAGGAGTGCCCCTATATAGCCAGTCATGTTGTCAGACTCCTCAGATAGGGCATTGCCCAGACTGATGAGAGTGTCCCGAGGCAGTCTGTCAGTGCACACTTATGGGACGAGTGATAAATTGTGTGCTCTCATTGCACACTGAACCCTGTCTTGGTCCTTTTATGTGAATGGACCCACAACGTGTATTAATGGGTTCCCTTAGGTCTTGGTCCATTCAACATTACAGGAGAAATCATCAGTACAGTGTGGATGTGTCCCCAGCTCCAGTGTGGTAAGAGGAGTCCCAGCACCTTGATCCATGCCCCTCACCACAGGACTCAGCTCTGCCCCAGTCCACCCTCAGCACTTGCGGGGGCTTCCTGGTGAGGTCTGCAAAACTCCCTCCCAGCAGCAGAACATGGAACATTTTGCGGGATTCTGTTTTTGACAGAGAGATGCACAGAGGACCAGGTTCTATGCAGGTGCATCTGAGTGTGGTGTTCCATGTGCCAGTGCCTGTCTGCTCTTCACAATTTCTCTGCTGGTAAATATTGCTTCCATGGGCAATGCTGTTGAGCTGTGATAGATACAGAGGCAGCCGCACATGTTGAAAGTCTGCCTGTGGTGAGTGCAACTCAGCTGTGCCTCTCTCACTCCTCATCACAACTACGCCAAGAGCAAATATCACATCCCACGGTGCTGCCCACTGCCCCTGTGTCACCCAGCCCTGGGCCCACCTCCTCCCGTCACTTTAAGGCCTGAAACCCTTTGGGCTCCTTCACAACAGATTCATCCAGTTCAGCCCTGAGCAACATGCAGGTTCTGTGGCAGAAGTCGATGGCCCTGAGTGTGCAGGTTCTGTGGGTCTCAGGTGAATGAGTTTTTCTTAGTTTTTAACCAAAATATCTGAAAATCTTACAAGAATGAGAGTGAAAGTAAAGCAGAGTAAGAAAATGATATTTTGCACAAATATGCAGTGTTTAGTCTTAACGGTGTCTTCAAATTTCATGGAAATAAAGGAAATAATAAATTGAAAGTTGCACTGTTTAAGATAGGCGCATCCCACAAGGGAGTGCCTGGGTCTCACATGTGGCTCTGGGTCCCAAAACCAGATTCCTGCTCCTGCAGCCCCAGAAACCAGAAGTTTACAGGAGGATATTTGGGCCCTGTCACTCTTGTGGTTGCGCCTGCTTGTTGTGCTGAAACTGGGCTAGGCTGGAGCGGACCTGGCCACAGCGACATTTGGGAAACTGCAGTGCGTGGGAACATCTCTCTCTCTCTCGTTCTCCTCTTTGATTCGTGTGTGATAATCAAATGTAAAACGTGAGGTACTGAAGGGTCTTTCTTTCTTTTTGTTTTTTTTTTTTTTTGGACAGGCAGAGTTAGACAGAGAGAAAGGTCTTCCTTACGTTGGTTTACCCCCCAAATGGCCGCAATGGCTAGCTCTCCATGTTCAGCGTGCCATGCCGATTCGAAGCCAGGAGCCAGGTGTTTCTTCCTGGTCTCTCATAAGGGTGCCGGGCCCAAGAACTTGGGCCATCCTCCACTGCATTCCTGCACACAGCAGATAGCTGGACTGGAAGAGGAGCAACCGGGACAGAATCAAGAGCCATAACTGGGACTAGAAACAGCAGTGCCTGCGCCGCAGGCGGAGGAATAGCCTAGTGAGCCGCGGCGCCGGCCTGAAAGGTCTCTCTAAGGGTTGTATTCCCTTCAATGCAGGCAGCAACTCTCATGGCCTTGTCCCCTCCCTAAAGCCTCCTCTCAATGGGATCACTGGGTGGTGAGGTCCCCACATACATGATGGGAGGCTCCGTGCATCAAGTATGGAGGGTAAGTTCCACCTAACATGCAGCCTTCAGCGCTCAGTTGGAGCGACCACACACACACACACCAAGCAGTGCTGGCTCTGCTCACGGCTCTGCAGGAACAGCATCCTCAGCCTCAATACCCCAGACCCTGCTCCTCTGTGTCCACTGTGTAAGAAAGTGATTCACCTGCAGGAGGAAACCATCATGACCCATGTCCTGGTGGGATCCTGTAGAAAATGTTCGTGAGCAGAGTCCACCCCAGACACTGTGCCAGCACTGATCCCCCAAGACACAGAAGTCTGCATCTTCAGGGGATGGCTCCACCCCCAAAGCTGAGGACTGGGGAGGAGAACCATGGCACATGGGGAAGTGACAGTCGGGGACAGGGTCCAGCAGCAGGAGGGAGAGGACCTGGTGGAGGGGTGGGCTCTGCTGTGCAGGAGGGTAAGGAGAGGTGGAAGGGCCACACTGCTGGAGCCCAGTGCCTGCAGGAGAACACTGAGTCAGGAGGTCTGATCAGGTGTCCTTGCCCCTGGCAAAGCCCACACTGACCACCACTGAGTAAAACTAGCAAAGGTGCCTGGGAGACATGGAATGACATCGTCTCTGGGGAGTGCATCCAGTGACGACTCCCACCATGAGTGGATTCAATGTCAGGGCCTCATGGAGGAAGCTGAGGTCCCCAGGGCCCTGAACAGGACCACACAGAATGCTGGGAGCAGCCTGTGGGGGTGGATGTGGTTTGTCCTCACACCATCAGTGCTGAGCATGGCCCCAACGTAACAGCACTGGCAGGGGGTGCACGGTCTGGATGTTTACAGAAATAGATTGTTCACTTCTGGGGAATCTGCTATGGAGGAGATCACAGTAGATCTCCTGGGTCCCCAGCTTCAGCACAGAGCACAGTGCTGCTAGAGTCAGCCCTGGTCTCGTCTGATGTCCTGTGTGGGGATGGGGTCCCTCCCATCTGTGTTCACAACGTTAGGATACCGGATGACACAACATTCTCACTGTCTGATCCTGGACTTCCAGCCTCTACAGCTGTGAGCTCAATAAATCTTTATGCTCCATACACCTCCTCTCTGGGGTACTGCATGATTGTGCTAACAGGCAGAATAAAACAAAGAGCAACACTCATCAATGCACTATTCACACCTGAAACCAACACTCACCTGTGTCTCCAGATTTAGATGAAGCCACTCAGAAATAGTCATTTCTACATCAGCTGAGTGAATTGCTTCAGGGTCTGTAAGAATCCTACATGAGAGAACAATTGCATTTTGCAGGACACATTTAGTAAACACATGGGGTTGATGCAGCTATCCTGGTGAAGAGCAGAAAATTTGTTCATTCCTGATGATGATAAAGTTGAGAGACAAAAGGACAATTTTGCTTCCACAGAAGGAGGAGCATGGTTGAGAACAGGTGCGGGCAGTCATTGGAGGAAGGAGTCGGGGTCTCTGGACACACATTCTCTGGGCCAGGCCCTTCATGCAGCAGGGATGCAGCTCCAGGGTTGGATCATTGGTCGACTCACAGGGACACAGTCCAGAACCACCTGGACTCTAGTGCAGACCTCACTGGACTGTCCCACCTGCTGGTCTCCCTGAGATGGAGACAAGGCCAGCAGAGTGTGGGGAACAAGACCTCTCCACACCCAGTGTTTTCTATGAGTCTGACCCCTTGCACTACCAACGGCCACCTCTGCTTGCAAATGAGAGCAGGTCCGGGATCCCAGGAGACGTGAGTGAGGAAGAGCAAGCAGGGTTTCTCGGAGCCACAGCCTGAGCCACCCCTGAGCTGCAGGTTAATCCCTGACCTGGGGATTGGACCACGTGGACCTCAACCTGTGAGTTCAGGGTGAAGAAGTGAAAGGGAGACGAGGGCACAGCTGCAGAGAATGGACACGGGAGCCCCAGGGACCAGGACCACGGGGTCAGCTCACCCCTCAGGGCCCAGCTGTGCAGGAGGGGAGGGCATGGATGTGAAACACTGCAGCATCCATAGCCCCTGACTGGGTCTGCACTGCCCCTGGGCTCTCAGCAGGGTCCCAGATGACGTCATCAAAGAATTCCACGGACAGCTCTTCCGTGACTCGGGCTGGAAAAGACTCCCTGGGTGCCCAGAGCTCCATCAGGTCTCAGATGCTGGGGACCCCAGGGATGTCATTCATTCCTCCAGAAACGACTCCATTTTCTTCATGTGACGTCTTTCCGTGATACCAAAACTTCTGCTCAGCGATCGGTGTTAGGGACAGAATCATCCATCCAGATCGGAATGTAGGAAATTCAGATTAGAGAACCACAAACCCCAATTTCCTGACTGGAGCCATCAATTCACCTCCCACTGCATCTGGGAATGGGTCTGAGTCTGTTCAGTGCGTCTCGTGCGCCCCCTGGTGGAGCCGCGCGCCCCTGCAGGGAGGTTTGTGTCTGGGCTCAGCCTGAGGGACCCTCACTGTGTCTCTCCCACAGAAATAGGTGGCCGTGTCCGCGCCTGTCAGACTGGTCATTTGAAGATCCACAGTGTTCTGGGCGTTGTCGCTGGCGATGGTGAATCGGCCATTCACCCAGCTCGCGTAGTCTGTGCTTCCATCACCAGCATAAATGCATGCGATCCACTCCGGCCCCTTCCCTGGAGCCTGGCGGAACCAGCACATTGCATTGCTACTGAAGTCGAATCCAGAGGCTTTGCAGGTGAGTGTCAGGGATCCCTCAGGCTTGACCAGGCCTCCCCCGGACTCCTCCAGCTGCTGCTGACACTGGACACCTGCAAACACAGACGACATGGTCAGGAAGCTGTCACTCACACTCTCTGGGTCTCTCACTCACGTCCTCTCCCAGACTCAGTGCCCCGCGTTCTCCATCATTACCTTTGAGCACAGCGACCAGGAGAAGCCAGCGCAGCCCAGTCTCCATGGTGAGCGTCTGTGTTGAGTGGGATCACTGAGTGGACACCTGGGAGTCCTGGGGCTGGAGCTCCTGTGCCAGAGCTGCAGGGTGAGGGCTGGGCAGGTTTTCATGGGCAGAGTGGGCCCTATTTGCATGTGCTGCCCCTATATAGCAGGTATGGGGTCAGACGCCTCAGACAGGACAGGGCCCAGGGTAGTTGTGGGTGTCCTGGGGGTGAGGGTGATGGGTATAATAGGATTCAGATGATATGATTTTTTACATTATTATTTTTTATCAGTTGAAGGCAAATACCTTGTTTCATTTTAGTTCGATGTGCACCCTTAATATCCAGTGTTAGCAATATCATTTCCTTCGATTTTTAAATAACCATTGGTTCATTATCATCTATATCAAAGACATTGGAACAGTGATAGAGAGAGAAGGGGTGACAGAGACAGAAATGTATAGACAGACAGAAAAGGTGACAATGGGAGATTTCTGACTTTTGATTGACAGCCCCTGACATCCCAAATGCCTATAACATCTAGGACTCAGCCTTTCTAATCCCTGGAACAGAAAACAGTGTCTTTGTTTCCTATGTTGGTGGTCGGGGCTCATTCGCTTGTAGCATCATCTACAGTTTCCCATGATGCATTATCAGGGAAAAGTATTGGAATCTGTGAGGCTGGGATCAAGCAACAATCTGATGGGAACTCGGGTGACCCTAGTGGGGACTTAGCCTATTTTGTCCTAATGCTTGTCGCCCACTTTAAAACAGATGAGACTGCAAGCGGATTCCTTTAGGATAACTATGTTTTGTTTTCTTATTCATCCATTGCCTTAGATTAAAACTGTTCGTGAACACAGAACACTGTACATGGTACTGGGGTTTGTGTGCTATTGGAATCTGTGTGTTGTAGAAATGGGCACAGATCAACTCAATGTCATTCACATTTCCACCTCCTTTTCCATCACTAGTGTTGTGAGACCATGTGTCCTCATTTCTAGTTATTTGTGGAACATGCTGTGTGTTGTGGTGAACTGAGTCAGCCCACTGTGGTGTGGGCAGAATTATTCCTTCCTGTGAGTGCTTTGTGCCCTGGTGTCAGCTGCTCTGTGTTCCCCCCTCTTCCCTGTGTCTAGTAACCATGACTCTGAGTTCAGCTCAAGCACTGCATAGAAGTCACTGTGTCACAATTCACCCGCAGTCCTGTGTTCAGTTAATGCAGCCTTGTTCACAATAGTTCAGTCTACAATAAAGCAAGTGTGGATAGAACAGTGATTGGATTCCTTCACATTAGGACATGGAATATTATTCAGTATTAAGAAGGAGGTTGTTCTGATGTGGGGGGCGGAGCCAAGATGGCAGAATAGTGAGGGCGTGCACCGATAGTCCGGGAAAAGACAGTTTAATAAAAGTGGAGTTACTGTAGCCTCAGGAAAAGGCTCAGGAAAAAATTGCAGAGGAAACCCTTCTGGATCTAGTTGATGTGACACAGAGGACCTATGGGGAGAGCAAGGTCACTCACTGCGTGGAAGCTGAGCCGTGGGAGCCGAGCCTCGGCAGGAGCCGAGCCGCCATGGGAGCCAAGTCGCCACGGGAGCTGAGCTGCCACAGAAGCTGAGCCACAGAGTCTGCACGCCAGCGCTGGAAGGGGAGGTGAGACAAAAACCCCGGTATCCCAAGACATTGGCAGGGAAAGGCAGAAAGAGCCTACAGGGAATGAGGCCTGAAGCCCCACTGGGGAAAGTTCCCTAGGCTGACTGGAGGAGAGAAAAAAACGAATAAATAAGGGGAACTGGCACGGACATTAGCCTCTCTCTCCACTCACCTTACAAGGCCAAGCAAGACAAAGAGCAGGCGCCATTTTACGTATGTAAAGCGGTGCCCACCATTAGCCAAGCAGAAAAACCTGACTCTGGTGGGGAGAAATAATAGGAGGTTAAGATCTAGTGAAATTGTGGAGCTAACAAAATGAGACTGTGAAACTCTGGGGGTGGGGTGAGAGAACTCACCGAGTACACAAACTCGGTAACCTTGGCAACCCGGTGAGACTGTGGAGAAATTTGAGACCACACTGAGGGCTGCATAAACTCTTTGTGTGGTCCAGGGGTAGAGCAGGCGAATACCCACAGGGGCCAGATTTCATACATCAACTACCCTCAATTCCACTCAGCTGTGTGGAATTACTTCCCAACTGAGTCAAAAAAAAAAAAAAAGAGAGAGAGAGAGAGAGTGAGCAAGCGAGTGAGAGAACAATGTGGGTGAGTTACCTTTGGCACACTCTTAACCCTGAAAAACCAAACAGAGCTCTCTGGCCACACCCATCACAGCCTCTAAGGATCCATCAAAAGCAGACAGTCCACTTAATCTAGAGTCACAGTATAATGAGAAAAAACACTACAGCGAAGAAACCAAAGAATATCTCCAATATGCCAAACAACAAACGCAAAAACCGAGGTAACAAGAACAAGGAAGACACTATGATGCCTCCAAATGAAATAGGCACCCCAATTCAAGATTATGAAGATGATGAGAGAGAAGAAGTGCAAGAAGTGGATCTCAAAAAAATTGATAAGAACATTAAGAAGTTCTCAAAAACAAATTCTTGAACTACAGAAATCCTTAATGGACAAGATAGAAAATCTCTCTCGTGAAAATGAAATATTAAGGAGGAATCAAAATTAAATGAAACAACTAGTAGAACATGAAACTGTGATAGTGACGAGAAATCATAATGAAATGAAGAATTCAATAGATCAAATAACAAACACATTAGAGAGCCTTAAAACAGAATGGGTGAAGCAGAAGAGGGACTATCAGACTAAGAAGACAGAGCACAGGAAAATATACAGTCAAACCAAAGAAAAGAAGAGGAAATTAGAAATCTAAAAAATATTGTCGGGAATCTTCAGGATACTATTAAAAAAACCAACATTCGGGTTCTAGGAGTTCCTGAAGGCATGGAGAGGGAGAAAGGATTAGAAGGCCTTTTTAGTGAGATATTAGCAGAGAACTTCCCAGGTTTGGAGAAGTACAGAGACATCCTAGTACAGGAAGCCCACAGAACCCCTAATAAACATGACCAAAAGAGATCCTCACCACGACATGTTGTAATTAAACTCACCACAGTGAAACATAAAGAAAAGATCCTAAAATGTGTAAGACAGAAACGTCAGATTACCCTCAGAGGATCTCCAATCAGACTCACAGCAGACTTCTCATCAGAAACCCTACAGGCTAGGAGGGAATGGCGAGACATAGCCCAGGTACTAAGAGAGAAAAACTGCCAGCCCAGAACGTTATATCCTGCAAAGCTCTCATTTGTGAATGAAGGTGAAATAAAGACCTTTCACAGCAAACAGAAATTGAAAGAATTTGTCACCACTCGTCCAGCCCTGCAAAAAATGCTTAACGATGTGTTACATACAAAAACACAGAAACATGGTCATCAATATGAAAGAAGGTAAACGAAGGAAACCTCACAGCAAACGATCACAGGAAGTTCAAAACATATATTAGAAAATATATTTGGCAAATGGCAGGGCAAAGTTACTACTTATCAATAGTCACATTGAACGTTAATGGCCTGAACTGTCCAGTTAAAAGACACAGATTGGCTGATTGGGTTAAGGAACTAAACCCATCTATTTGCTGCTTACAAGACACACATCTTTCCAACAAAGATCCATACAGACTGAAAGTGAAAGGCTGGAAACAGATATACCATGCCAACAGAAATGAAAAAAGAGCAAGCGTAGCCATCTTAATATTGGCCAACATAAACTTTCCCACTAAAACTGTTAGGAGAGACAAAGAGGGGCACTATATAATGATTAAGGGATCAATTCAACAGGAAGATATAACGATTATCAATGTATATGCACCTAATTACAGGGCACTGGTTTTTTTAAAAGATTTGCTAAGGGACTTAAAGGGAGACTTAGACCCCAATACAATAGTACTGGGGGACTTCAATACTCCACTCTCAGAAATAGACAGATGAACAGGACAGAAGATCAACAAGGGTACAGGAGATTTAAACAACCCTATAGCCCAAATGGATCTAACAGATATCTACAGAACTTTTCATCCTACACATAAAGCATTTATATTCTTCTCAGCAGTACATGGAACCTTCTCTAGGATTGACCACATACTAGGCCATAAAGCAAGTCTCAGCAAATTCAAAAGAATTAGAATCATGCGATGCAGCTTCTCAGACCATAGAGGAATGAAGTTGGAAATTAGCAACTCAGGAATCCCTAGAGCATATGCAAACACATGGAGATTGAACAACATGCTCCTGAATGAACAAAGGGTCATAGAAGAAATCAAAAGAGAAATCAAAAATTCTCTGGAAGTAAATGAGGATAACAGCACAACATACCAAAACTTAAGGGATGCAGCAAAAGCAGTGTTAAGAGGAAAGTTTATATCAATAGGTGCCTACATCAAGAAATTGGAAAGACACCAAATAAATGAGCTTTCAATTCATCTCAAGGATCTAGAAAATCTGCAGCAAACCAGACCCAAGTCTAGTAGGAGAAGAGAAATAATTAAAATCAGAGAAGAAATCAACAGGATTGAATCCAAAAAAAAACATTACAAAAAATCAGCCAAACGAGGAGCTGGTTTTTTGAAAAAATAAACAAAATTGACACCCCATTGGCCCACCTAACTAAAAAAAGAAGAGAAAAGACCCAAACCAATAAAATCAGAGATGAAAAAGGAAATGTAACAACAGACACCACAGAAATAAAAAGAATCATCAGAAATTACTACAAGGGCTTGTATGCCAGCAAACAGGGAAATCTATCAGAAATGGATAGATTCCTGGCCACATACAATCTACCTAAATTGAACCATGAAGACATAGAAAACCTAAACAGACCCATAACTGAGACAGAAATTGAAACGGTAATAAAGGCCCTCCCAACAAATAAAAGCCCAGAACCAGATGGATTCACTGCTGAATGCTACCAGACATTTAAAGAAGAACTAACTCTAATTCTTCTCAAACTATTCAGAACAATCGAAAAAGAGGGAGTCCTCCCAAATTCTTTCTATGAAGCCAGCATCACCTTAATTCCTAAGCCAGAAAAAGATGCAGCATTGAAACAGAATTACAGACCAATATCCATGATGAACATAGATGCAAAATCCTCAATAAAATTCTGGCCAATAGAATGCAACAACACATCAGAAAGATCATCCACCCAGACCAAGTGGGATTTATCCCTGGTATGCAGGGATGGTTCAATGAGTGCAATCAATCAATGTGATACACCACATTAACAGACTGCAGAAGAAAAACCATATGATTATCTCAATAGATGCCGAGAAAGCATTCGATAAAATACAACACCCTTTCATGATGAAAACTCTAAGCAAACTGGGTACGGAAGGACCATTCCTCAATACAATCAAAGCAGTCTATGAAAAACCCACGATAACATCCTATTAAATGGGGAAAAGTTGCAAGCATTTCCACTGAGATCTGGTACCAGACAGGGATGCCCACTCTCGGTGCATCCGAGATGCTCGGTGCATCTTGTGCGCCCCCTGGTGGAGCCGCGCGCCCCTGCAGGGAGGTTTGTGTCTGGGCTCAGCCTGAGGGCCCCTCACTGTGTCTCTGGCACAGAAATAGGTGGCCGTGTCCGCGGCTGTCAGAATGTTCATTTGCAGAGTCACCGTGTTCTGGTTGGTGTTTCTGGAGATGGTGAATCGGCCATTCACCCAGCTCGCGTAGTCTGTGCTACCACTACCAGTGTTAATGTATCCGATCCACTCCAGCCCCTTCCCTGGAGCCTGGCGGACCCAGCTCATTGCATAGCTACTGAGGGAGAATCCAGAGACTGTGCAGGTGAGTGTCAGGGTTCCTCCAGGCTTGACCAGGTCTCCCCCGGACTCCTCCACCGACTGACACTGGACACCTGCAAACACAGACCACATGGTCAGGAAGCTGTCACTCACACACTCTGTGTGTACAATATCATTGTACCTCGTATGTCTATATTCAATTTTATTTAACAAACATTTATGATAATGAAATGGCAAATCATTAAGATTCAGATCTCTGAATACTGGTGTTGTGTTTGCCAATGTTTTATTGAGATGATAAACAAAGGCAGTGCACTCAAGGCTTGGCAGCTGGAACCCAGGAGCATGGAACTGCATCAGTGTTCCCACCTTGGTGATGGGGCCTCATAACAGATCCATCATCTACTGTCTTCCAGGGTGCATTGTAGTTACCTCTATGGGAAAGTGTGCAAATGGGCTCCGTCCAGCACTCTGTATGCAGCCTGGGTGTCTCCCACTGTAATGTTAATGAAACACTCCAAATGGATTGACATTTGGAGCATAGACATGTAGTGAAGAGCAGGGACTCTGGACACATGGTCTCTGGGACTGGCTCTTCCTGCAGCTGTGATGCAGCCTCAGGACACTGGTCATCATGCTGGAGCCACAGACACAGCTCCCCATGATGTGGACTCCAGCCCCAGAGTGCACAGCCACTGTTTGTCCCACTTTCTGCTCTCCCTGAACCGCAGCAGGTGCAGCGGGTCCCACGACAGAATCAGACCAGCTGGAAGTGCACACCCAACACTTTCCATTCAGTGATGACCTTGACTGCTGATGTCCAGTGCATTTCCCTCCTGAGTTCAGGCAAGGAGCCCCCCAGGAGGGTCCCAGGACCTAGAGGATGAGGAAGTCCCTGTAGGCTTCCCAGGTGCCTGAAGAAGCTCAGCCTGAGACACAGCTGAGCTGCAAGTACATTCCTGAGTGCTGTGACGTTCACACAGGGAGCACAGACTGTTCCAGGATTAAAGGAAAATGGAGATGAGGTATGAAGTCTGTGAGAACACCCACAGTTGAAAATAAGCCGGTTGGTTCATTTCAGCACACTCACTGATTTTGACAGGAGAGAGATACTTAAATAGTATATTTTTAAACTCAAACCCTGGCTCAGCTATCGCTGGTTCGAAAGGGAAAAGTACAATTGTCCTAAAGTCGGCAGTGTCCTGAAAACGCTCTCCTGAGTCAGACTGGACAACACTCATGAGGTTCCCAGATCTTCCCACATCTCTGATCCTGGAGACCACTGAACCTGAATTCGTTCATGTAGGACTTCTCCTGTCACATCAACTTCTCTATTTCAGAGGGTCAGTAACAGGGTCAGAATCATAAAAGAAGAATTCTTCCCTAAAACTGTTACAGGAGAGGAAACCTCAATTCCCTGACAGGAAACCAGGGCTTAATCTCCCCCTGCACCTGTGCAGGACCAGAATCTGGGCTCAGTGCGTCTTGCGCGCCCCCTGGTGGAGCCGCGCGCCCCTGCAGGGAGGTTTGTGTCTGGGCTCAGCCTGAGGGCCCCTCACTGTGTCTCTGGCACAGAAATAGGTGGCCGTGTCCGCGCCTGTCAGACTGGTCATTTGCAGAGTCACCGTGTTCTGGTTGGTGTTGCTGGTGATGGTGAATCGGCTTATCACCCAGCTCGCGTAGTATGCGCTACCACTACCAGTATTAATGCATCCGATCCACTCCAGCCCCTTCCCTGGAGCCTGGCGGACCCAGCACATCACGTAGTTGTTACTGAGGGAGAATCCAGAGGCTTTGCAGGTGAGTGCCAGGGATCCCCCAGGCTGGAACAGGCCTCCCCCGGACTCCTGCAGCGACTGACACTGGACACCTGCAAACACAGACGACATGGTCAGGACACTGTCACTCACCCTCTCTGTGTCTCTCACTCACGTCCTCTCCCAGACTCAGTGTCCCGTGTGCCCCATCATTACCTTTGAGCACAGCGACCAGGAGAAGCCAGCGCAGCCCAGTCTCCATGGTGAGTGTCTGTGTTGAGTGCGATCACTGAGTGGACACCTGGGAGTGCTGGGGCTGGAGCTCCTGTGCCAGAGCTGCAGGGTGAGGGCTGGGCAGGTTTTCATGGGCAGACGGAGGCCCTACTTGCATGTGCTGCCCCTATATAGCAGGTATGGGTCAGACGCCTCAGACAGGACAGGGCCCAGGACAGATTAGTGTCCTGGGTGTGTAGAGTGATGGCTTTGATATGATTCAGATCATATGACTTTTTATGTTATCATTATTTTAAATAGTTGAAGGCAAATACCTGGTTTCATCTTAATTCAGTGTGTATCCTTAATATCCAGTGTTAGCAATAACATGTCCTTCATTTATTTAAATAACCACTAGTTCCTTATCATCTATATGAAAGATATTAGGACAGAGATAGAGAGAGAAGGGGTGAGAGATACAGAAATGTAGAGATGGACAGAAAAGGTGACAATGGGAGATTTCTGCCTTTGAGTTGACAGCCCCAAACATCCCAAAGCCTACAACATCTAGGACTTAACCCTTCAAATACCTGAAGCCGAAAACAGTGTCTGTGTTTCCCACGTTGTTGGTAGGGGCTCATTTGCTCTTACCATCATCCACAGTTTCCCATGATGCATTATCAGGAAAAAGTGTGGGAAGCCGTGAGGCTGGGCTCAGTCAGTTCTCTGATGGGAACACGGGTGTCCCTAGTGGGGACTTTGCCAATTTTGTCGTAGTACCTGCTGCCCACTTTTAAACAGATGAAAGACTGCAAGTGGATTCGTTTAAGGTTAACTATAGTTTGTTTCTTATTCATCCATTGCATTAGTTTAAAACTGTTTCTGGGCTGGCGCCGTGGCTCACTAGGCTAATCCTCCACCTTGTGGCGCAGGCACACCGGGTTCTAGTACCGGTTTCTAGGTGCCAGATTCTGTCCCGGTTGCTCCTCTTCCAGGCCAGCTCTCTGTGTGGCCAGGGAGTGCAGTGGAGGATGGCCCAAGTGCTTGGGCCCTGCACCCCATGGGAGACCAGGAGAAGCACCTGGCTCCTGCCATCAGATCAGCGCTGTGTGTCGGCCGCAGTGCACTGGCCGTGGCGGCCCCTGGAGGGTGAACCAACAGCAAAGGAAGACCTTTCTCTCTGTCTGTCTCTCTCTCTGTCCACTCTGCCTGTCAAAAAAAAAAAAAAAGAAAGAAAAACTTCGTGAACACAGAACACTGTACATGGTAGTGAGGTGTAGTGTGCTATTGGAATCTGTGTGTTGTAGAAAAGGGCACAGATCAACTCAGTGTCATTCACATTTCTACCTCCTTTCCATCACTCTGTTGGGAGGCCTGGAGACATCAGTTCTAGTTATTCATGGAACCTGTCGTGAGTGGTAGTGAACTGAGTCAGCACACAGTTGTGTCTGCAGAATTATTCCTTCCTGTGAGTGGTGTTTTGGCCCTGGTAGCAGTCGCCCTGTGTCCTCCTCTTCCCTGTTTCTAGGAACCATGACTCTGGTTTCAGCTCAAGCACTGGGTAGAAGTCACTGTGTCACAATTCACCCCCAGTCATGGGTTCAGGTAATGCAGCTTTGTTCACAATAGTTCAGTCTACAATAAAGCAAGTGTTCATAGAACAGTGAATGGATTCTTTCACATTAGGACATGGAATATTATTCAGTAGTAAGAAGGAGGTTGTTCTGTCATTATGAAACATGGGTCAACCTGGAGCATAATATGCTAACACAAATAATCGCGGTCCATGTGGACACATAGTATGTGACATTAGTTATATATGCAGTCCACAAGCTTGAACTCACAGAGGGAGGAAGTGCAATGGTGATCACTGTCTACCATGACCCAAGTGTTTGTTCCCTTCCAGCCCTGTGGGAAACTGGGGGAAGTTCCAGGCTCCTGACTTTAGGCTCAGCCATCCCAGCCTTTGCAGCCATTCACGAAGTGAACCAATGAATGGAAGCTTCTCTCTCCATCTGTTGATAGCTTTATCTCTTGCTATAACACTGCCTTTCAAATAAAATAAATACTTAAAATAAATGAAAGATTAATTATACATATGGTTAGGAGCCTATTTCCAAATGTTGAGTGTACTCAAGCCACTGATCCCAAGGGAAGCAATCAATTCCTTAAATGCAGTGATGATAAGGTGGTGACAGGAGCAGCACTGGAGTGAGCCTGAGGGATTCCTGCCTCCCGTGTCAGGATGCTGAGTGCTGTGTCCTAGTTTGGTTCCAGTGTCATATTCCTGCCTAAGCTCCTCTGGGAGGCAGTAGGTGAAGTTCCAAGAACTGCTGTGTGGACACCTGGACAGAATTCCAAGCACCTGCCTTCACCCGACCCAGCTGAAGCTTTTGTAGCCATCTGGGAAGTGACCAGGAATTAGAAGATCACTGTCAGTCTCAGTCTCTTTGCCTTTTTGAAAAAATTTGTAAATACAAATATCAAAATATGTGAAATAGTATCTATAAGTTTTTAAAAAAGATATAAAGGCAACATATAAAATGATATCTTGGGACCATCATGCATGTCCATAATAGATGCACAATGAGACATCCCATCCTTCCTGTTAGAATGAGTATTATCCTACAATCCAGAGCTGACAATCCATGTGGAGGAAGCTGGAGATAACTCTGGTGCAAGATCGGAGTCAGGTAAACAAGTAAAACTATTATGGAAAATCATCAAAACTGAGAAACAGAATTATTACAAGATCTTCAAACACCATTTCTAGGTAGAAGTAATATGAAATCCCAGGGAGGTGTCCAGGGAAACCGCAATCAATGTGGCAAACACCTCTGCTCTTCCATGTTCAATTAATGCAGCGTCATTCACGAGAGTTCACACATACAATCCAGTGAAATATTCATGAAGAAAGAATCAACAATGGAACAAATGGACAAAATTATATTTAACAGGAAGTTTATATGGCAGTACAGATGAGGAAATTCTGTATTTTGGACAACTCGGATGATCCTGGAGAATAATGTCCAAGGATAATGTGTCAGGGTAAGTACACTCTGCTAACCATGCAGGACAAGAAGACAAATATTATGTGATGCTGGATACATGGGATAAAAGGATGAAGTCACAGAGGCAGGAAGTACGATTGTGAAGACCAACATTTGAGTGAGGGAGGAACAGAGGAGACGCTGTAGTAGGGTCAGAGTTTCAGCCCGACAGGATCCTCACACTGAGGGATCTACTGTACAGCATTGTCACAGCAGTGAAGGGAATATTGTGTCTACTGAATTCCAAAACAGGAGACAACTGACATTCTGCCATGGGAACATGTGGTTTTCTGATGAGCATGTCAATAAGACTGACTTCGTAACTCCACTTAATTTCATACATTCATTATTCAACACATATTATTGTACCTCATAAGTCTTTGTACAGGTGTTATTTATCAAACATTTATGACCAAAATTATCAAAAATGAAGATTCAACAGTCTGAATACTGGTGTTGTGTTTGCCAATGTTTTATGGAGATGATAAACAAAGGCAGTGCACTCAAGGCTTGGCAGCTGGAACCCAGGAGCATGGAACTGCATCAGTGTTCCCACCTTGGTGATAGGGCCTCATAACACATCCATCATCTACTCTCTTTCAGGGTGCATTGTCAGTACAAGTATGGGAAAGTGTGTAAATGGGCTCCATCCAGCACTCTGATATAAAGCCTGGGTGTCCACCTCTCTAAAACTGATCTAAGACTGCAAATGGATTGATGACGCCAGTCAGCATAGACATGGAGTGAAGAGCAGGGACTCTGGACAAATGGTCTCTGGGACTGGCTCTTCCTGCAGCTGTGATTCAGCCTCAGGACACTGGTCATCATGCTGGAGCCACAGACACAGCTCCCCGTGATGTGGACTCCCTGTGATGTGGACTCAAGCCCCAGAGTGCACAGCCACTGTGTGTCCCACTTTATGCTCTCCCTGAACCACAGTAGGTGCAGGGGGTCCCACGACACTGGAGCAGAACCAGATCAGCTGGAAGTGCACACCCAACACTTTCCATTCAGTTATGACCTTGACTGCTGATGTCCAGTGTTTTTCCCTCCTGAGTTCAGGCAGGGAGCCCCCCAGGAGTGTCCCAGGACCTAGAGGATGAGGAAGTCCCTGTAGGCTTCCCAGGTGACTGCAGAAGCTCAGCCTGAGACACAGCTGAGCTGCAAGTACATCCTGAGTGCTGTGACGTTCACACAGGGAGCACAGACTGTTCCAGGATTAAAGGGGAAATGGAGATTTGGTATAAAATATATACAAGTGAGTCTGGATCATCCACAGTTTAAAATAAAAGATTGGTTCAGTTCAGCATGCTCACTTGTTTTTGATTTTATTTGTTATTTTTTGACAGGCAGAGTAAGACAGTGAGAGAGAGAGAGAGAGAGAGAGAGACAGAGAGAAAGGTCTTCCTTTTTCCATTGGTTCACTCCCCAAGTGGCCGCTATGGCTGGTGCGTTGTGGCCGGCTCGCTGCTCTATCTGAGGCCAGGGACCAGGTGCTTCCTCCTGGCCTCCCATGCGGGTGGAGGGCCCAAGCACTTGGGTCATCCTCCACTGCACTCCTGGGCACAGCAGAGAGCTGGACTGGAAGAGGAGCAACCAGGACTAGAACCCGGAGTGCCTGCGCCGCAGGTGGAGGGTTACCTAGTGAGCGGCGGCGCCAGCAACACTCACTCGTTTTGACAAGAGAGAGATGACTTAAGTAGTTGAGGTTTAACAGATCAAGGACCCTGTGTCAGCTGCTCCTGGTTCTAAAGGGAAAACTAAAACTGTCCTAAAGTCAGCAGTGCCCTGAGGGTGCTGCCCTGAGTCAGGTTGGAAAAGACTCAAAGGGATCTCAGAGTCCCACATCTCTGATCCTGGTGAGCACAGTCGCTGTCCATGAACCAAATTTGTTCATTTAGGACTCCTTCTTTCACAGCGAACTTTCTCTCCGTCAGTGAAGTTGGCAGGGACAGAATCATAAAAGTAGAATTCTTCCCTCAAAACTCTTACAGGAGAGGAAACCCCAGTTCCTTGACAGGAAACCAGGGCTTCATCTCCCCCTGCACCTGTGCAGGACCAGAATCTGCGCTCGGTGCATCTTGTGC